TCCGTGATGGAAAATGAAACCTGGGAAATGGCAACATTGCCTGTAGATCAAAAAGCAATACCTTGTAAATGGATATATATGTTAAAAACCAACTCAGGAGGTAAAATAGATCGCTACAAAGCTAGGTTAGTTAAGGGTTATTCACAAAAAGAAGGCGTTGACTTCTACGAAACGTTTAGTTCTGTTGCTAAAAGAAGCACTGTTAGAGCTGTACTAGGCGTCGCAGCAAAAGAAAACTTGGAGATTGCCCAATTTGATGTTTCAACCGCATTTTTTTATGAAACACTTAAAGAAGATATTTATATGAAGCCTCCCGAGAGTTATACCAGTAAGTCCAACATGGTCTGTACATTGAAAAAGAGTCTTTATGGCTTAAAATAGGTGACTGTTGGAATCATTGTATTACACAATATATATTAAAAATTGGTTTTAAACAAAGTGAATCTGACCCTTGTTTGTTCATAAGGAAGCGGGATGGTATTAAAATTGTCATAGCTCCCTATGTCGATGATGGATTAGTAGCAGCAACAAATTTAAATGAAATAGACAGTTTTATGGATGAGATGAGCAAATATTTCAAAATCACGTTCAAAACGGCATCGTATTTTCTTGGAATTGAGATCGATAGAAAAGTAGATGGATCTATAAAAATTGATCAAAAGGGATTTACTAAAAGGATACTGGAACTGTTCAGTATGCAGAAATGCAAACCAGCTGCTACACCAATAACGAAGGGTATTGACAATGACATTGACACAAAATTTCAACAATGATGATTTCTTATATTTACGCGAACACTATACATTGATTAAAACTACTTTTACGGATTTTATCGCGTTTTATTTATATAAATTTTAATACCCGACGTTTCGGGTGCTTTCATGGGTGCTGGAAAGCACCCGAAACGTCGGGTATTAAATTTAATATAAATAAAACGCGATAAAATCCGTAAAAGTAGTTTCAACAATGAAACAAATCTAAAAGTATCATTCCCTTACCGTCAAGCCGTGGGTTCCTTATCCTATCTGATGACTGGAATTCGACCAGATATAGCATTTTCGGTAGGTGTTGCCTCGCAAAATCTACAGCAGAAAATGTGGCTAAGGTTTAACGCATAATGCGGTATTTAAAAGGCACAGCTGAGTATGGTATAATTTACAAGAGTTCGAGTAATTGCAATCATTTAGAGTGCTATAGTGATGCAGATCATGGAGATGATCATAGCACTGGACGGTCGACATCAGGTATTCAATGTATTTACTCTAGTGGTGCAGTAGCATGGTAAAGTAAGCGGCAATCTAGCGTAGCTATATCATCTACAAAAGCTGAACTATTTGCCGCTAGTGAAGCAGCAAGAGAAATCATTCCGATGGATAAAATAATAACATTTTTAATTGATAGCTGTGAAAGGATTCCCAGACTACACTTTGACAATGAATCGGCTATAAAGCTAGCCCATGATCCATAATTTGAAATGCACAATCGAATGAAACACATTCGTATACGACACTTCTTTATGAGATAATGTGTTGAGCAAAGAAATTTAGAGGTGCTGAAAACATATGCTAAAGGCCAGCTTGCTGATATATTAACAAAACTTTTATACAAGCTACGAGTTCTGTAATTAACTATAAAAATTGGAATGAAGTTCTAAAATGAAGGCGGATGTTAATAAGGACACCAATGTTAAGTTCGTCAATTATTTCAACTAATAAACTACCATATTTATCAGTATTATCACCCCATAAATAATAATGACAATTAGTCACCAAGAATTATAAATGGTTTGGGTAGGGAGGCTATTAAAGATTTTATTCTGCGAAACGTATGGACAGAAGGGGAGGGAACATAAATAGAAACGAAAGTAATATTTTGAATTCTTACTGCTACAATATTAAAGTCAAATATTTCATCATAAACATCTATAATGGAATAAGTTATATTATTTTTTATAAGCAAAACACATCCGGCATAACCATCAGATCTGTCACTTCGAACAAGACAAAAACCAGGTACTCTGATGTTCGAATCCGGTTTTAGCCATGTCTCTGAAATAGCAGCGATACACACATTGTATTTTTTTTAATAAATAGATTATTTCAGTACGTTTATCTAAAATGCTTCTACAATTCCATTGAAGGATCTTTGTGAGAGTGTATGTCTTGGAGAATTTTAGGTATAGAATTTAGTAAGCGTGCAACGTGGGACGGTAGCTTCGACGAATACGAAGATATAATTATGTTAATAAGGAAACTTATAATGCTTTCTACAGAATCAAAATTACCCTGTGAAGTAACTGGTGAAACCCGAAGAGCAAAACCATCCTCAGGTTGCGGAATTGAAAAATCTTCAATGATTGATGATTTTTTTTGTCGTATCCTGTTTGTGAATGGTGACGTAATGGTTTAGGAATATATAATGATTTCTTATAAGAAGTTTTATTAGATGTAGCGCGGTTGGAAGGAAAATTATCCACTGTAGGATTAGTAGAAAGCGAAGAATTTTCAGGGATTTTAGAAATCAAAACATCAGCGTATGATTTTGAAGAAACTTGACGATATTTTTAAGATGCTTCTAGGTATGAGATAGAATTTTGTGCCATTTCAATTTTAATATTATTTTGTCTTGTGTGTTCAGGACATCTCGAATCTGTGGCGTTGTGGTTACCTGAGCAAAATAAGCAACGAAAAGATCCATTATCTTTGTCGCAAGAAGAAGAGGAGTGATCACCTTCACATTTTGAGCATCTTGGCTTGGAACGACATAAATCTTTAGTATGTCCAAATCTGCAGCACTGAAAGCATTGGATCGTTTGAAGCTTATAAATTTCAACAGGAATGGAAGAATAGCATAAATAAAGCCTCGAGAGAAGAATTTGACCGTCAAATGTGATTACGACACTTTCAGAGCTTTCATATCTGACTTTGTCCTCGTTGCGAACTCGGTAATTTAATCTTCTTACTTTTAATACAGGAATGGTGTTTAGATACGTAGATAATTCGGAAATAATCTCTTCTGGTGTCCAATCTTTTGGTACACCTTTTATAACTCCCATACGAGATACATGAAAGGATGGAATAAAGGTTTTATATTTATCATTTACGGATGAATTTTCTAAAAATAGATTTGCATCAATAAATTTGGAGAATTCAACCGTTATTCTATTTCTCCCAATACGTTTTAGGCCTCCATTAACTATATTTTGTACATTTAATTTTTTCAAAAAGTGACCAAATGAAATGGCATTTAAAGTTTTACCAGAATTAGGAGAATCTTCTTTTACTTGAACATGAACGATAAAAGGACCTGAATCTGCAGAATTATAAGAACGAAGAGATTGAAATCTTTGTGACTCTATTTTTTTATTATCGCTATCAATATGCGTGTTAAGAGATTTAGAGGAGATATAACAATTGGCAGAATTTAATGTTTGTGATAGAGGAATGCCAGATGATTGTGAAAGAGGGATTTCAGATGATTGTGTACAAGATGTGATAAAGACATGGGAGATTCATAAGCACGTTGTACTGACATATTGCTTTTGATAGAGTTAGAGCCTACAATTTTAATTTTAGATGATGAAGTATTACCAGTATCGCAGTCCGATTCTGAGAATGAGGAATTGGTGGAAAAAGCTGAAATTCTTCTATTTATGTCAACCCGATTAGCATGCTCTTCTTTCTTCCTTTCCTTCGTTTTATGTTTTCTTTTCTTTTTGTTTGAAATAATTTTGAAGTTGTCATCAAAAATTTCTTGCGATAATGACTGCCGTGGTTTTTTAAGTGAACCTTCTAAATCATTTTCAATTTCAACATAAGCAGCGGGTGAGGAAATAATGTTAGTCTCAGAATAATTCGGATCCGGTGGCTTAGGCGGAATTGGATTAGACATGGCGACCGAGAGACTAAAGCTACGTTAAACTGTTTTTTGATAGTATGAAATTGTCGCTAAATGAGATACAATATGAAAATGCTGATAAATATTATTAATATATACTAAAATATATAAGGAATGTAATCAGAATATTACAAGAAAACTTAAAATAATTAAAATGACACCAAAAACGAGTAAAACCGTTATTGACGTTCAGTTGACAATCCTATTTACTATATTCTTTGCACTAAACACAATAATAATATGTCATTTAAAGATGTAACCGATATATTCGTATTCGTTAAGATATTAGTAATATTACATGGATTCATAGATCAGTAATCCAACGGATTCTGATATGCTAATATTCCATATTCACTTCATTTATACGCTAACTGTTCAACATCGGTTGGATAATATCACTCGGCTCGACTCGACTGCTGATACCTGATATTCGTGATGGATATATTATGTAGCATTCGTATTGTAAGAGCGAGCCGAATGACCAAATGAATTAACCGAATGGCGGGTATTCGTTATCTATTGTATGGTACTTACAGACTATTTTCAATTGGATATTTTATATCACGGCGGCCAGCGAGACTACAAATACAACTCTATATAGATGTTTAAAATTTATTGACTCTAGTAGTGTTTTTAATAATATATATTTACATTTATTTATTTTTATTAATTATTGGGAATGTATTAATTTTACTGTCGTAGTATTTTCCCAACATTCTTGTTAAAATCATATCGACATTCATTGAAATGAGTTACCATTTAAATATTTTAAATCATTCTTAAAGTGTAAACATACAAAACAAAGGCCCTTGTTTTGTGCAGTGGAATTTATTTTTATTCTAACCACTTAAAATCACTTTCAATAATACTTATATAAACAAAAGGGTGTATTTTGATTCAATGCGATTCATTTCTGACTTTCTGGGTACAGAGTGGTGTAACACATTTGGTAATTCGTAAATTCATGAACATTAAATTAAAATTATCTTAAACAGTGTATTAATAAGTTTAGTTCAGTTTGCTGAGTGTTAAAGCGATTAAAAGCAAAGGCATATATTTATTTTTAGCTATATCATAAAATAAAAAGTCTTTAAATTAGAAAAATGAAGCGCGCTCGAGTAAGTGAAGTATGGAATTATTTCACAGTTGATTCTGAAGAAAATAAGCTTGCAAAATGTACTATCTGCCAATCGAAATTTAGTTTTAAAGGAACTATTTCCAATTTAAATAAACATTTAAAAAACAAGCATTTTATAACTGTCCCTACTCAAAACTCAAGACAAGAACAAGAAGTCATTTCAACGAGGCCACTAACTTTACCAGTGACTGAATCCAACGCCGACGTTGAGCATGCAGATAACTTTACTCTACCTGGATCTTCACAAACCGTAAGTGTGCCAAGCGTACAGACAACTTCGGACCCGCAAGCATCTAATAAAATTCAGTCAACCCTAAGAATGTTCGCTAATACTAAAAAGTTATCGACAAAACAAAGAAAAGAAATAGATGACTCATTAATGTTATTGTTTTCTAAAAGTTTTCTGCCGTTCTCGATAGTTGAGGATGGGTATTTCCAAAATTTTGTAGCAAAGCTAAACCCAGCTTACCAGCTTCCGAGTCGTAAACATGTATCAAATACATTGTTAGATGCTGAATATCACAACTGTTCAAATAAAGTCAGAGGAGAACTCAGTAATGTCGATTATGCTTGTCTCACAATAGACTGCTGGACATCAAGAGCACAAGAGGGCTACTTAGCAGTAACAACGCACTACATAGATAAAAACTTTAATTTAGAAACTGCTCTTCTACAATGTCGCATTTTGTCTGGGCCGCATACAGCAGTTAATTTGAGTACGGAGTTGAATGAAGTCATAAACGACTGGAACCTCACAAAAAAATTTAATTAGTTGTTTCTGACAATGCTCCAAATATTCAAAACTGCATTAAAGATCTTAATTTAAAAAACTTTGGATGCTTTGCACATACAATTAATTTGATAGCCAAAATGATCTAATGATACCGGAAGTCGAATTTTTTTGACTAAATTGAGAAATATTGTCATCAATGTTTCTCCTTAAATAACTCTTAACTCCTTAAATAACAAAGAAATAATAATGTAACACAACCAAAAAAAATGATAATAGATGTCGCAACCAGATGGAATTCCACCTTTTATATGCTAGAAAGAGTTTTATTGTTAAAAGAATCAGTAACAAGTACATTAGCAATCTTAGACTCCGCTAGCAGTACTTACCTTGAAAATATTAGTGCCGATGAATGGACACTGTGTTCAGATTTATGCACAGTTTTAAAACCGTTAGAGCAAGTTACTGTCCAGATTAGTAGAGAAAAATATCTTACAGGTAGTCTTGTCATAATATTTAATAGATTATTAAATAATGTATATTGCAACAAAATTTCACACGATGAACACTACATTCCAGTGCTAAATTTGTATGCAATAGGATTGTGCGTGGCTTGCTGACAAGACTGAGTAATATAGTGATGAGCGGTACTTTCGGAATACCTACATTTCTCGATCCAAGATTTAAAATGGGATTTTTTATTGATAAAAGAGCTGCCGAAGCAGCCAAAAAAGGGTGGTCAAAATGGCAGTTATTGAAATAAATAAAGAAAGTGCTTGACAGGAATCACGGTCAACGATAACGTCAACAGCGCCGACTACATCAAAGAAACCGGAATATCAAAAGATAGCAGCAAGCCATATAATCTCATAGATATTTGGGCGGATATTGACATTCAAGACGTTCATATACTGGAGTCACCAACAGCAATAGCTATTGCTGAGGTTCAGAGGTTTATAAATGATAAAATGTTACCAAGGAATGCAAGCCCCAATGATTGGTGGCGTAAACATTCTTTTTTGTACCCTAACCTCAGCAAGGTATTCAAACAGCACTGTTGTGTACTAGCTACTTCAGTACCTTGCGAAAGGAATTTTTCAAAATTTGGGGAACTAATTTCTGACCGACGAACTCGCCTGTCGTCGGAAAAGGTAAAAAAATTGATGTTTTTATACAAAAATAAAAAATAAAATTTTCATATACACATTTTATAATTCTTTTTATCACTGATCATATAATGTAACATTAATGTTCGACGAAATAAATATTTTATTATTATTATTATTATTCCAATTCCTCACAATATCATTTATTTAATAAGATTAATATATATCAAAGCATATAAACCGAGCATACATACGTATAAAAACTAATACGATTGCTTGGTAAAATGAACTTATTACCCACATGAATATTATAATAGTGATACCTATAACCGTTATATTAAGATATCAGTAATATTCATATATTAGTTTAAATATTATAATACCACTTGACGAATATATTCATATTAACTAATACTATTGACTGGAGGTTGGCAGTAACTGTTAGGTTGCCATATTTAAAAAAAAAAGTATAGTAAATATATAACGAAAGTTTTGTGCTGTGCTTTTCTGAATTTCTAGTTTCTGTTTTTGTCAATTATCTTATTAAAATTACTATATTCGAAAATGAATAGAATATTCGGAAAAGGAAAACCAAAAACGCCAGGTCCCAGCATTACTGAATGCATTAGCAATGTAGGTAAATGTTTTAGACGTTTTATGAAATGATTCATCATCGTTTCATTTTGGATAAATTTAATGTTTTAGGTTGATAGTAGAGCTGATAGTATTGAGCAAAAGGTTCAAAAATTAGAGTCAGAACTAAGAAAATACAAAGATCAAATGGCAAAAATGAGAGAAGGACCTGCGAAAAATTCAGTAAAACAAAAAGCGATGAGAGTTTTAAAACAGAAGAAAATGTAAGTACCTATAGGTCTAAAACAAATTTCTATAACTTTACATTGTTGCAATTACCACCAACTGAAAGCTCTTTCGTGCTTCGGGAACAAAAATAAACTTTCACTTTTTTGCCTAGGATTCTGTCTGGTTAAGCACCAACCACAGTACCTCATATAACAAACAAACCTGCCTGTCACCCAGAGGGGTAGGCAGAGACTACGTACTTCCATTTGGCTTGATCCTGACACCCCTCGCCTCCTATTACATCCATCTATATCATATCTATGCATACACGCTCATCAGTTAAGGGTACTTCTAATGTGGCTCATTTTCAAAATATCGCCAATTTGGTTGATAAACTCTAGTCTCGTCTAGGGCATCCCTTCCCGACTCTGCCGTTCACATCTGCTATATAAATTAGCTGTCACTCTTTCCTCATTCATTCTTTCTACATGACCAAACCACCGAAGCATTCCATTCTTAATCCTGGTTACAACATCCTGCATACCCCATTTTTCTCTTATCACCTAATTTCTCACCCTGTTATTCAGATTCAACCCTATCATACTCCTTAAAGACTGCATTTCTACAGCATTTATTCTACTTTAGTCGGTCATTCCATGTCAAATTAACGGACACTTTCTTGCCATAAAACCCTCTCAGAAGTGAGAAGAGGCCTGTGTCCAGTAGTGTAAATTTTATCATTTGGGTACTAGCTATCCACCCTAGAATGGCAGTGGCAGTATCTAATATCTCTTAATGCTGCGTTATTTAGCTTTAAGGTGATCAAAGATCATCAAATTTTTGTTTTCTTAAGAATCTTCAAGTTTTTTTTAGATAATATATCACCAAGATCCCTCTGTTTTTTGCTCATCATTGCTCAGTCATTCCAAAGATTATCCCGGACAAACAGAAGTAGACTAAAATTTTAAGAATTGTTGTATGTAAGTCTTAGCAGTGTGAAAATAACCACATGAGTAAGTTATTTCAATATTATAGACAGACAATTCAATATTAATTATATGTATAGATTTAATACAAACATAAACTCTCACACTTTTCTCCCAGTGGCATATATGCATACACTAAGTTAAGTGTACTCTTAACTTGGAGCTTAGGTGTAAAATTCTTATTTTATTTGATGATTTCTTATATTTACGCGAACACTATACATGATTAAAACTACTTTTACGGATTTTATTGTGTTTATTTTTACTTTTTATTTACTTTTATTTTTTAATTCCCGACGTTTCGGGCGCTTTCCAGCACCCTTGGTCACGGGGGACTGAGATGACTGACGTCCCGATGTCATTGTTAAACCCGGAGTACCTTCAGCTTTTTTAATTATTGTTTATGGTCCGATCTATGCAAAATGAACTGACTATGTCCTGAGGTCTTGCAGTGGTATGCTTGGGTTTAGTTTTAATTTTATTGATTATAGGATCCCAAGCAGGTGGTAGTGCCCAGCCCCCTTCTCTATTGAAATTAGGATGTTTTTTAATTTCAATAGCCTCACGTATAATCCTTGGTAGGAATCGGTGTTCTTTCGCGAGGATTTGTGGTCTATCAAATCTGATGTAATGGTTGGGTCCGTCAAGGATATGATCACAAACTGCAGTCGAGCGTGTGCCTGCTGTACTACCATATGTCAGAGGTGTCACAGACAAGATTGGCTATATCTTGAAGCGAGCTTCTATTAGAACATTCTGCAACGCGAAAGATTAGTCAGTTCCTACCATCCGTCAAGTGTCATATTCCTCTACAAGATGCAGGAGTGTACAAGCTTGATTGTGAATGTGGTCTCTCTTATATAGGACAAACAAAAAGATCAATTAGGACCCGCGTAAAAGAACATATAGCTGATGTGAAGCATCAACGTTCCGGGAAGTCTGCAGTTTGTGATCTTATCCTAGACGACCCAACCATTACATCAGATTTGATAGACCACAAATCCTCGCGAAAGAACACCGATTCCTACCAAGGATGATACGTGAGGCTATTGAAATTTAAAAACATCTAATTTCAATAGAGAAGGAGGCTGGGTACTACCACCTGCTTGGGATGGATCCTATAATCAATAAAATTAAAACTAAACCCAAGCATACCACTGCAAGACCTCAGGACATAGTCAGTTCATTTTGCATAGATCGGACCATAAACAATAATTAAAAAAGCTGAAGGTACTCCGGGTTTAACAATGACATCGGGACGTCAGTCATCTCAGTCCCCCGTGACCATGGGTGCTGGAAAGCGCCCGAAACGTCGGGAATTAAAAATAAAAGTAAATAAAAAGTAAAAATAAATGCGATAAAATCCGTAAAAGTAGTTTTAATCTTATTTTATTTTCAAAATAATGTCAGGAGTGTCTTCTAAGATTAATAGAAAAATATCTGGTGAAAATAGATTGTTTCAAGATGAGTGGGAAACGATTATTTTGTTGTGCCAAACAAAAACAATGCAGCTACTTGTTTTATATGTTGTGAAAATATTATATTGTAGACACAATATTTTGCGTCATTTTACCACTAAACATAAATCTTTCGATGAAACTTTTTCTCCTGAACCTTGAGAAATGAGAAATTGAGTTTTTTAAGAGATCATTGCATCAATAACAAAATGTTTTGTCTGTGGCATTATCATAAGACTCCGCGGTAACTAAGGCATAATTTTATCATCATAAGGCGCATTTTCGATATATCACTAATTTAGTTAATAAACTTCAGTCTTCTACTATCCCTTTATCATCATAAGGCGCATTTTCGATATATCACTAAATTAGTTAATAAACTTCAGTCTTTTACTATCCCTTTATCATCATAAGGCGCATTTTTCATGTATCACTAATTTAGTTAATAAACTTCAGTCTTTTACTATCCCTTTATAATCATAAGGCACATTTTCGATATATCACTAATTTAGTCAATGAACTTCAGTCTTTTACTATCCCTTGTCGGTTAAACTATAGACATCCGGTACTCGCGTACAGTGGTGGGATTGGGAGGGGGGGAGGGGGAGGATTCAGGGGAAGCACCCCCTACACCTCTCTGCAGAATTGTATAGTTTATGAGTAATAATTTTTTTGTAAAATCATAACCTCCCTTTTTTACACAGGAATATTGATACAAAGCTACTTCTGGAACATCTTCGGCACTGCAGGAAGAGCAGCCCCTTCGCTCTTGCGTAGCAAATCACAAGAACCCATGCTCGCTTCCGCAGCTTCGGTTTATTAGCCTCAGCCGCTGCGGCCCACTCAGGGACCCGCGATTTGCTACAGCGGGTGGTAGCTGCTCTCCGGTTGCGCCTACGGCTTTACAAAAACACTAGGGGTAGGGCAGACAAGTCTATGTGAAGTCGGGGTGTGCTAATTCGGTTTTAGAATCGATTCGACCAATCATACATCTATAAAGTTAGTTTGCCCTAAACTCTACTATGATAGTGGTAAAGTAATGTGAATTGTTATAATTTTGTTTTCTGAAAAACCTCTAGACTGCTCTTCACTGCAACTCAATTTGCTGTATATGAGTCCCGTCTGCAGCCACAACTGGATTATCTGGGTCAGAGTGATTAACTTTTTATGAGTGTATATCTGTGTTAAAAAAACAAATTGACATATTTGCATTTCGTTATAAGCAATTTTTAGTGAAATTTGTTTTTATCATAATTAATTCAAAACGCATTTCCAACATCCAAAAACAGTGTAAAAGGTTAACTTAACCCTGACAAGCCTCCTAAACTGAAAACATAATTAAAATCAAGTACCGGATATCTATATGTCAACCCCCCTTTTCTACTCTTGCTTTGTGACTCTTTCATTTTTATAATCTTAGTATTGTGACCAAGATTGTCCTTGTGCAAACCACATTTTTCTTTTATCACACAATTTCTCCCCTATCTATCATTCAGAGTTACCCCTTATAATTATGCTTCTTAATGTCTACTTTTCTACAGCATTAATTTTACTGTCACGCTTGTTGCCCAACCCTAAACCAACTCCCACTACCATATATTAAGGTAGGCACTATTATATTTATACTTAATAATCTCCATTCTTCATATTGGCGTTTTCAAGAATGCATCAACTGACTTGCATTATTAATAGAAAAAGATATGCATCTGACCATGAGAGTAAAGTTACAACCTTATATGTATCCCACTCCTAGGCACAGGCCATCTCTTATTTCTAAGAGGATTTTAGAGCAAGGTAGTGACCGCTGCACTGCCCAAATGCCAATACATGTTGGAAGACTTCACATGCCTTCGAAATTTGTTTTCTTAAATTTCTCAGTAATGCAGGTTTCATCACAATGTTTTTGTGCACCGCTGAGCGCATGGTAAAATCAAAGGCTAAGCGCTGACTGTAAATTTCACAGTATGCAGGAGTCTAGGTACTATCACCGCCGGCACCAGTTGATCATGAGAAGTATTTGTAAAATTCTTCTTACACTCTACTTGTTAGTTACTAACTTTATGAAGTATAAAATGACACTGAGAGCGCCAATTCATCTACCAAGGGTGTTTGTTGCCTACATCCAGGTGTGGGCTATGGTCCTTAAAGGAAATATGACTGTTCTATTATTACTTATTGTGTAATTTGTGCTTGCAGGTATGAGCAACAATTGGAAGGTCTCAGAAACCAAGCATTTAACATGGAGCAAGCAAATTATGCTACACAAACTATAAAGGATACCCACACTACAATAGCTGCTATGAAGGATGGTGTCACACAAATGAAGAAAGAATTTAAGAAGATAAACATTGATTCTATTGAGGTTTGTTTTCTTCTTACCTGACTTCAAAAAAGAGGATGATTTCAATTTAACTGTATGATCTTTTTTATGTACGTTACACAATATATTTGGGAATTGTAGATCAATTTTAATTCTTTTTATTAATACTTCAGGGATCACCCCTATATACCATATAAATTTGGAGTGAAAATTCCACCCTTAAAGGTGGGAAAATAGAGGAGCAATTTAATATCGCAATTTATATGGCATTCTAGTAACTTCAGCTATACATTATGCCTAAGTCCATTTAAAGATGTTGAAAAATTATACTTTTAAAATATATAATATTTCTATTTTATAGGATGTAAATGATGACCTGGCTGATATGATGGAACAAGCTGATGAGGTGCAGGAGGCGTTGGGTCGTCAATATGGTGTACCTGATATAGATGATGATGAACTTGCAGCAGAACTAGATGCTCTGGGTATGTGTTTCCCTATCTATATTTTAATTTATAAATTATCTAACATTTTTTTTTCAAAAAGATAACTATTTGTAAAACTTCACAGATAATAAAGTATGTTTAAGTTATGTTGTGCATCTTAGGTTAGTGGTTTAGTTTACGACAGGCTGTGTTCCGCAATTCCACGTCTAAGCGCGTATTTTGCATGTGGGCAGGAATAATGTGATTATTCGAGGCATGAAATCTCCCCGAAGAAGTTCAACAGTCCTTTGATGTTGCAAGCAACTTCGTAGAGTGATCCCGGCGTGACGAGATGTTTAGCCCTGTATGCAGCGACCTCCGGATGTGTCAACAACACGTGGGCCGCCGTTTCTTCCTCCCCTATACATGCCCTGCCCAGGGGACTATCTCTAATGCCTATGGTAAATAAATGTTTTCTAAAGGATGTTTTTGAAAGGAAGGCTGATCTGTGGCTTTTTTCAGTCTCATTAGAACCTTGGTTAAACAAATGTTTATTTCAGGCAGGGCCTCCCTAGCTTGTCTACAGTCTACTAAGGTTTTCCAAAGCTGAGCATGTATATTAATGAGGTTTCTATGTACCAGTGGACGAATGGCACCAAAGAGAATTAGTATTATTGGTTCCCGCGCTGTTGTGGCGAGAGCCAATCCTCTTCTGGCTGGTTCATCTGCTGATCGTTGCCTCTGGATCCACTGGTTCCCTTTATCCATTGCAGAGTCACATTGTTGTGTTAACATACCTTATTTAATTATTGATGGAATTCATATATTAGTCCCGATTTCATCACATTGCAGCTCAGAGCTTGTAGTACTGCCACCTGAAAGACTGTGTTATGGGTACTCAGCGGTGTACATGTGTGGATATTGCGGTCTTTAGAGAAAGTTCCAGATCCTACACCTTCATTTGTTTTAGAACCATCTATGAAAATTAAGCTCTTTTGGATTTAATTCCTCCGGCTGGCCAGTTTCATTTAATTGTATCTTATACTTCTTATGAATACAAATTGTTTTGGGATCTTATCATACTTCACTTGTAAGATAGGAATTTCTGAGTAAATTCTATCAATTGTATCTGTATGAGGGACTCTACTCTTACACAAAAGATTTTGGGTCTTGAGTGTAATGGCAGGTAAAGTAGCTTCTTGATGTATGTGTAGATGAAGCGGGGTTAGTTCCAGTACAGCCTATAAAGGTGTTGTTGATGTAGTTGTTATGTAGGCTGTGGCAGCCATACATGCAAGTCTCTGGTTATGCTGAAGATACTTTATAGTGGTGGCTTCATTAGTTTTGGTTCACCATACCAGAGCGCCGTATGTGACTTTGGGCCGAATTACAGTTTTGTACAGCCACAGTATAATTTTTGGCATCAAACCCCATCGTTTGCCAATCATGTTTCTGCATTGCTAGAAAGTTATACTAGCTTTGTTGATTTTGTTTTCTATGTGTTTATTCTAGTTGAGTTTACTGTCCAAGGTAAGACCTAAGTATTTTACCTCAGAGGGTAGTTGGAGTTTTGTGTGTGCTGAAAAGACTTGTGAGATGATAGTTATTCAGCATTAGTTTTTGTATGAAAAATACATCTTAGGTTGTTCTATGATGCAACTTCATTCTTCATCAGTTTGCAAATAATTAACTGCTGGGCTCTTGCTATGCTAGCTAGGTAGATGGGTGTGCGATCACAGTTCTAAATATTTTACAATTTTGATGTAATACAAGTGTGGTTATATTATATGTGATATAAATACAAGAGAGGACCCAGGATATTCAAAGTTTGGGGGCTTATTACGCAATCATCATCATTACAACCTATCAAATTCCACTGCTGAACATAGACTTCTCCCGTTGATTTACTCATTGTTCGGGATTTTCCATAGTTGCCACATTTGGCAGTTGGGTTGGCAACTGCAGTTTTTTATTCCATTGAGTTGTTATTAGGAAAAAGCTGCTGCCTTTCCGTTTCAGTTTTCCTCTATCACCCCTTGTGATACCAATGGGTAGTAAGTAAATTCACTTATAGATCACATGACCAATGTTGCACTGTAATGAAGGTTATATGAAGGTTTACTGGCATGTGTTGATAGTAGTTAGTGTAATTCCAGTTAGACCGGGTCCTGGGTTCATGCTCCATGTGCCCGTAATTTAACTGGTTATACCACTAACTATCAGAAGCCGCAAAATGTAATGAGCGATTTTTTAAATCGCCGTTTACGATACCCATGCGATGAGATGTGGTGCTGAATTCTCTTATGTCACAACAATGCGGTGATTATAATTTACAACATTAATAACCCCTTGTCACTTGGTATTGGTAATGTCTCCCCACATCACTAGTTTTTTCGTTTCCATTTCGGCATTTTTAGATGGATTTTAGCCATCAATCAGTTGCTAGAATCTGCTTAGTTAAATGTCAGAGTACACCGGGCACATATTAACATTTGTGTGAAATGTTAGTATTAACTAGTATAGTAGTATGGTGCTGTAACTAGTATGTATGCGTGGAGCTAACTGTTGGACCGATCATCCACTAGTGGTATCGAGACTCAAACTCCGATTGCGTCCACCGCGGAGGGCTTGTAGAGCAAGACCTACTAGCTTCGATGTGGAGAAGTTGCAAGCTCTTGAAGTGCAGAGTGTTTTTGCTGAGGCAATAAGTAAAAGTATCCCCCACCTCGATATAGATACTGGTAGTCTTGAAGCTGATTGGAACACTCTCTCTTCTCATATAGTTTATGTAGGAACGCAAGTCTTGGGCCTGAAAAAGCGCTTTAACGAGGACTGGTTTGATGAGAATGATGAGAAGTTAGCTGTTATTTTGGAAAGACATCGGAACTTCTTACGACAACAAAATCACAGTCGAAGCCAATGTAATAGTTTATTAGAAACAATCAGAAATAGTGGATCTACTCTGAGGAAAACTACTAGAGAGATGAAAGACAGCTGGTGGTCGCGAAAGGCAGAGTATTTGCAATGGCTCTCTGATACCAAGCAGCTCGGTACTTTTTATGCGGAAGTAAGGAAACTGGTCGCGCCTAAGCATAGAAGTAGTGTACCGTTAAAGTCACGCAGTGGTGAGCAGCGTTTAACAGCGAAAGAAGACGTGTTAAAGCGATGGGCTGAGCACTTCAAGGAACTTTTAAACGAGGTCCAGTAGCTGACATTGGATTTATCAGCAACATCTTGCCTCTTCCGCAAGTTTCCGAGTTAGAAGAGCCACCAACAATGCAAGAAGTTGTCAATGCCATTCAAGTGCAGTCAAATAATAGAGCGGTTGGAGTGGATAGTGTTCCTGGTGAGTTGTTTAAGTATGTAGGAGAGCAGCTATACACTACGGTATGGAAACTTTTTGTCCGGATGTGGTGTGAAGAACAAGTGCCATCCGTATTTAAGATGTCGCGCATTTACTCTTTATATAAAAATAAAGGTGAAAGATCTGACTGCAATTCCTATCGTGGTGTGTCGCTCCTTTCTACGCCTGGAAAAGTATTTGCTAGGGTGCTTCTTAACCGACTCATTCCTATTTCGGAAGCGTCGTTACTAGAAACACAATTTGGTTTTCGGTCGGGGAGAGGAACTAGTGAAGCTATCTTTTGCGTACGTCCGATGTTACTTTCATTTGTCGATCTGGAGAAAGTATTTGATAGCATACCTCGTGAAGCGTTATGGATAATTTTGTTAAAATTGGGATGTCCGGAAAAGTATGTATGAGTAGTGAGGCTTCTACATCTACACAATGAAATGACTTGCTGTGTTTCCGTAAATGGTGAACAAACAGAATTTTTCCCCATTACTTGCGAGGTTGTGTCCTGGCGTCAACGTTGTTTGCTCTCTATTTTGCTATAGTGGTCAGGGATGCTATAGATAGTCTGCAAGAAGGGATAATAATAAATAAAATAAATAAATATCATTTTATTGCCACTTTTAAAAAAAACATGTATACATATGAACTAATTATTTAATCTTATTTTAATTTAGGCAAACGGAGGTGACTCAGCTTTTGCTTACATGGAACTAGATCCCATGAAGCGCTGGTTTTCAGGCACTCCTTCTTCCCTGAGATGTTACACGGGTGTTATGAGAATTTTGAACTCCCCAATCACCTCTTTCATTTACTCATCTATCTGGTTGTGACATTTCATAATTCATCATCATCATCATCATTACAGCCCTTCACAAGTCCACTGCTGAACATAGGCCTCCCCCAAGTAATGCCACAAAGCACGGTCCTGAGCCACCTGCATCCATCGACTTCCTGCATGTCTTACCAGGTCGTCACTCCATCTAGTGGGGGTCGCCCTACACTACGCCTACCGGTACGAGGCTGCCACTCGAGAACCTTTCTTCCCCATCGGTTATCGGTTCTTCGAGCTATATGACCGGCCCATTGCCACTTCAGCTTACTAATCCGTTGGGCTATGTCGGTCACTCTGGTTTTACTGCGGATATCCTCATTTCTGAGTCTATCACGCAGAGAAACTCCGAGCATAGCCCTCTCCATAGCTCGCTGAGCGACCTTAAGCGTCCTCATACGGCCAGCAGTGAAGGACCACGTCTCAGATCCGTAAGTCATCACTGGCAACACGCACTGGTTGTACAATCTAGTTTTTAGAGATTGAGGTATACCTGACGAAAAGATATGCCGTAATTTCCCGAACGCTGCCCAGCCGAGTTGAATCCGTCGATTGACCTCTCGGTCGAAGTTGGACTTACCTAGTCGGACTATTTGTCCCAGGTATACGTATTCGTCAACAACTTCGAGCATAGTGCTCCCAACAACTACCGGCATAGGTGTGACATGGACATTGAACATGATCTTTGTTTTGTCCATCTTAAGACCTGTGTGTGTAAGTGATGTGTGTGTGTCTGTAAGAGATGTGTGTGTCTGTGTGTGTGTGTGTCTGTGTGTGTGTGTCTGTGTGTGTGTGTCTGTGTGTGTGTGTGTGTCTGTGTGTGTGTGTCTGTGTGTGTGTGTCTGTGTGTGTGTGTCTGTGTGTGTGTGTCTGTGTGTGTGTGTCTGTGTGTGTGTGTGTCTGTGTGTGTGTGTCTGTGTGTGTGTGTCTGTGTGTGTGTGTCTGTGTGTGTGTGTGTGTGTGTGTGTGTGTGTGTGTCTGTGTGTGTGTGTGTCTGTGTGTGTGTCTGTGTGTGTGTGTGTCTGTGTGTGTGTGCTGTGTGTGTGTGTCTGTGTGTGTGTGTCTGTGTGTGTGTGTCTGTGTGTGTGTGTCTGTGTGTGTGTGTCTGTGTGTGTGTGTCTGTGTGTGTGTGTCTGTGTGTGTGTGTGTGTCTGTGTGTGTGTGTGTCTGTGTGTGTGTGTGTGTGTGTGTGTGTGTCTGTGTGTGTGTGTCTGTGTGTGTGTGTCTGTGTGTGTGTTCTGTGTGTGTGTGTCTGTGTGTGTGTCTGTGTGTGTGTGTCTGTGTGTGTGTGTGTGTGTGTGTGTGTGTGTGTCTGTGTGTGTGTGTGTCTGTGTGTGTGTGTCTGTGTGTGTGTGTGTCTGTGTGTGTGTGTCTGTGTGTGTGTGTCTGTGTGTGTGTGTCTGTGTGTGTGTGTCTGTGTGTGTGTGTCTGTGTGTGTGTGTCTGTGTGTGTGTGTGTCTGTGTGTGTGTGTGTCTGTGTGTGTGTGTCTGTGTGTGTGTGTGTCTGTGTGTGTGTGTCTGTGT